AGAAATAAATTTCTTCAATTCTATTTCGAAGAATATTAGAATTAAATTTTTAAATCCGAAATAAAGAAATTAAAAATCTAGGAAAAGAAATCTCAAAATCTATAATAAAATATTATTTAGTCGAAAGCTCGAACCCTAAATAGAAATATTAAAATTTCATTCGAAAAGAATAATCAAATATTAGATTCTAAAAATAAGACACTATAACCTAATATAATCAAGAAATCTAATTCCTATAAGACATTATTATAAATAAACCCAAAATATATTAGAATCAACAAAAATTAAGAAATCTTAACTATAATGAAAAGAATAATTAATCATCGTATAATTTTGAGAAGAAGAAATTAAATATTCTAAATTCGATAAAGAAATCTTATTTAATAGTGGAATATGAAATAAAATAATGAATTTATAATTTTAAATCTTATAAAAAAAATTTATATCTATATTATTCTTCATATTATCTCGAATCGTGTGGTAGAATATTTATAATAATTCGCGGAACCGCGGAAAAAGAATAATACAACCTCGTTTTATTATAGAAGTATATGAAAAAAATATTATTATATAAAATATTATTATATAATAGAATAGAATTTCAAAAAAATAAAACCTGCTAATTTCAGACAAAAATGATATAATATTACAATATATTATATTTTAATGTCTTCTAACGAATAATATCAATTGTGTTTTAATATAAATTGAAAGATCAGTAAATTAAGAATTAACTCAACATCGTCAATTTTCTCGCGACACCGCTAGATTATTTGGATGGAATATAATATAAAGGCCTCTTTCTTTCGTTCATGACCGCATGATTCCGAAGTCATACAAAGAATTATTGTTGCTCCTCTGCGATTGCACATCCCTTTAGATGCGACAGCCGCGTCAAGCAACATGTGCGGTTGCTTGCAGATGTGGAAGAGCTGCCACTTTTGCAACACAGCAGCTTAGCCATCTTCCGTGATGCTGCGACGAGATGAATGATACCAAACCCCTGTAGGAGCATCTCGCAGACTGCGCAGCCAAGCAATGACCACGAGGACAGTACATTAGTCAGTAGTCCAAAATGTGTGCCACATGCAGTCGAAAGAAAAAGATGTCCATGATTGTACTTGGAAGCAGTAAAACGGTCATGATTGCAGCCTCAACCACTGCTCGATTTGATTAGCGTCCCCACCTCTCGCAACGGGAGCTTCGTAGAAGACTGGGCACCTACCCTGACTGCAGCATGCAGTAAGAATGGCATACTGTCGCGAGTGGAGAGAAGGAAAGGAAAAGTGCATACAGCGCGGCGTATTGCCTGCGGCAATGGCAAGCGCAACCGTGCCACGCATCTTGTCCAAGATCTAAACTTGGGAAGAAGCTGTGGCGTGACCATATCAGCTCTTGGCAGAATAGCTTTGTCTTTGCAATTGTCCGCTTGTCATGTGAGTGAAACTGCGTCGCAGGTTTCCTCTTGTTCCAGATGTTTCTGAAATTGCTAGAGCTTCATCTTCCATATGGAATCATAACAGTCCGTCAGGAAACCTGCTGCACCATGGAAGCTCTCACTGTTTGTCGAATCAGCATCAATGTGCTTATGGCACCTTATACCAGAGACTGACATCACAGGAGGTGTAGTCGAGCAAAGTCTTGCTCTTCCGACTCGACTTCGAATGCCGGGCCTCACTTGCTGACTGGCATGCCGATGTTGACACGTAGTGTGCCAACCTCGTCGATCACCCCCTGGTACCTGAGCTGCCAACACGTGCAAGCAGCATGCTCTGGGCGGCTTCGCAAGGAATAAGGGGGCCACATGGACTTGCCACTGTCTCTCAATGATAAGGTCAAATCTGCCTGGCAAACACCGCCAAACATGAGCGTCACACGTGGTTTCTGGTGGTTACAAGGCCACGGAAGCCTCATCCGTCTCGAGAAGGTCATATCCAAATACCTGGTCAGAACAAGAGGAGTCTGCGGAGTAGTGCAGCATGTAGACTTCCGACTGGCAGTACTTTGCTGAAAATCAATCGTAAGAATGTGTTCAGATCAGCATGGGCCTGCACATCCTCCTGCACACGGCTTTCCCGAAAGAGGCTGAAGTCTGTGTTGCTTTCTACCTGGCATTGACAAGGGAGCTGCAAAACTCAGTCAACACTTTTCAGCGTGTGTCTCCTGCCTTGATGCCTTCCAAACACCGGTGGACAACACTGTCCTGTTTCAGGGACAACACCTCCACTGCCTGCGGCACCTCCACAGAGGCAACATGAGGTGACTCAAGAACATCAAGCTAGTGGCGACACACCGGCCTGGGGGAAAATGACCTGAACGAACAACCTGACAGAGCGATGCAAACCAACAGAGCTGCAGAAAAACAAGATCCTCTTGTGCACACCCTGCACGTGTGCCTTGCACCAAAGATCAAGTGCTCCAGGAAGAAGAAGAAGACGATCTACACAAGTCGACAGCTGTGTTTAATGTGACAATATTCATCGACCTGATTGGCACTTGTGCTTACAGGCAAGATTGCGAGGTGCATTGAGCACGGGCCTTCTCCGTGATCGTCCAACTAGAGTATTGCGAGGACGTGAAGATCAGCAACAGCACGTTTGTCAGAGCTGCCATTACTCCTGCCAACATTCAGACCTATTGATATACTCATTCAACTTCAACTGCGAGCATCAACACGCAAAGACCCACCATAGATTTCGAAGGCAGTGCCCCACGGCCTGAGAACAGCAGAAAGCTAAAAAGATGAGGCTCGGCTTTTCGCTTTTCTGAGGCCCGGTCTCATTGTTCCTTGCCTGGGTTGGGAAAGGACGCTGTCTGCTGTCCAGAAGACCTCGGTAGTACCAAGGTCGTGTTCAGCTTGATTCGCTACAGGTAGACCTCGCTCTCCTCCGAACCGTCGCGAAAATGATCTGCGCCGAGCAATGCCACAAATTGAACCAAGGTTAAAAGATTGAATAATAGGGAGCCTTTCCGCGACATGCGCATGAAGAAGCCACGACGTTTCTAGCGAGCTAGCGAGCTGACTGAGGCTTCGGGCTGGCCTGTCTTATACATTCCCAGAGCTGGTGCCTCATTACCTTTTCGCCTTGTGCGGAGGGGAGGGGGGGGGGGGGCGCGTTCAAGGCTTGTGAGAATGAGGCGGAGGAAAAAGGTTCACGAATTCGAGACAAAATGCTCAAAGCCATTGCCCACTACAGTCATGAAGTACTTAGGTCCCGGCTTCTCATGTCAACCCAAATCTCCACGAGGACAGCCAACAGTGTCTGGCATGGCATGTGAAGTCGCTCACACTGAAGCGAACAGCGCTCTACAGCTACAGGGCTGTGTGCAGGATGGTCACAAAGCACCAAGCTTGCACAGCACAGCTTCACTCCATTCGATCAAACAGGAAGGCGCACTGCAGTGCAGACCCAAGGGGACGTGACTGCAAACAGTGTGGCATAACCGTGCCTTGGGCATCGACCCCTGAACATGTTCTACACATCTGAGCTTCCAAGCTGCAGTGAGGCTTTGACGTCAGAAGCATCTCGTCAAACTGATCGAAGTTGCGGTGCTTTTCCTAACAGCCCGACGTCTGGGCTAGGCCATGAAGAGTCTCACTTCGATTTCCCTGGGCCTTCTTTGCCTGCTGCTCCGTGGCCGACATTTCCGCCAACTCTAGGACTTGGCCTCGACAGACTTGACCATGAACTAGACTAACTAGACCTTGCAAGATGAAGCTCGAGGCCATGGTAGAAATTCTCGAAAGTCATCTTGTCGTACGAAGACCTGCGATGGGGTGGCAGGGGAATGACAAGCAATGCGCTGACGCTTTGTTGAAGCAGAGCACTTCGAATGACTCCCAGCCCGGACTCACTTTTGTTCATGCACGGATCGCCCGGCGCGGCATTAACGTCCGTTCTGCGCAATCTCCATGCTGCAGATAGCTCTTCAGCATGCACCGCTTGGCGTCCAGAGCGGCCCGTAGAACATCATGGAGGACAGGACAGAACTCCGGTCTCCTCTGGCCATCTCACCAATCATCCCACCTGAATTGCATTCCAGCACACATGTCGTGAGAGCATCATGTTTAATCACTTTAGCTGCCATGACATGCTCTGAAATTCTTCGCCGGGCGGCCCAATTGTCTCTACCACAGTGAACTCTGCCTTCGGCTTCTGGTCATCAAGATCGTCTTCAGCGCGACGTTTCTGAGATCCTATTGATCTGCGCACGGTACCGGACTCGCAAAGGCTCCCTGCTTCTCAACTTTGGCATTACCGCCTGTTCGGTCTTGCTGCGTCGGCTGGCCGCTTTCCGCTTGGGGATTTTGGTCCTTTCCTGTCCAGGAAAAAACCATAATGTACCAAAACTGCAGGCTTCGGCAACATGAGCCGTGCGGGAGTTTGGCCTGACAGCTCAGAAGTCCGGAAATCTTGAGCTGGCTGGGAACATGGCTGCTGTTGCTGCGACATTCGTACGGTAAGGCTTTAGAGACCGTACGTAGGCTTTCCTACGGTATGCACATAGGCTGAATGAAAGATCCTGCAGTTGGACATAATCTCGCTTGAGCCAAGTGGGCACATCACCGGGCTTCAAGACACTCTGGGCACGCTTGACAACGTCGATCGTTCTGCCCTGGCACTGGCGGAGGCACAAACTCCGAAACCAAAGACGAATTTTCGGAAAGAAGTGCTCAAACCTGAGAGATACTTGGGCGGTCAGGCACGAGCCTACGAGCCTGAAACATGCAAGGCGCAGATCTGAGGTGAAGACACGTTGGAAACAAACAGCCGGAACAGCACGAAGATTCTGCAGGCATAGAATCGCGAGACACCACTCAATGCTGCGAGTTAGGGCATTTCAGAAGCTCGACAGTCACATTAAAAGGCGCACCCCAGCTGCGCTTGTATGTCCAGGAAGCACTGATCTCCTGGAGCAGCGACGGAAGACGGCCAGAGTGCGGCACCACTTTTCCCCCTAGGGCTTTTGATGGCGTAGCAAAGAAGAGTCTCTGTTTGAGGCTGCCCGACCGATTCGAGCACGACGGAGCGAGGCTAAATTTGAGGAGAGAGACACGGTAGCAGCGTGATATGGCTCGCCTACTAACGGCCGTAGCTGTATGCATAATCCCAGTAGCAGTAAACGGCCTAAGCGATTTCAGCAACAGCAAAAGCAAATCATGATCGCACTCGTACTTCCAATCGAGAATTATGGTAGAAATGGCAACAACAAAAGCGATCGCAATCATTATAACAACCGTAATAACAACACTAATGGGCAAAAGGAGCCGGAAGTTAAACAATAATTGTCACAGCAATAAAGTTCAATAGAGCAGCAATTCACTCCAGCCGAACATAAAGATCTGCAAACAAGACAAAACTAAGAGCCGTTCTGATTTATGGCCAAACACAAATGACCTCAGCACATGAGCCCTCTTGCCATACTGCAACTGCTGATTGTTGTAATTCCGACTGCTGCACAAGAGTACAAGGCCAGAAGCCCATAAGCTAAACCCTAAACCCTAAACCCCGAAACCCTAAACCCTAAAACTCCAAACCAACAAGCAAAAGCCAAGTTGACAATGCCAAGAAGCCGAAAGGAGCCGAAGACCAGGACGACAACAGAAAAAGAATCCCAAATCCAAAACCCAAAACTCAGAATCCCAAATCCAAAACCCAAAATCCAAGACCCAAAATCAAAAAACTCTAAGCCCAAAATCATGAATCCCAAAGCCAGGAAGCCAAAAGAGCCAGGAAGCCAAGGGCCGGAAGCCGAGAAGACAGAAGCCAAGCATCCGGTTTAGGGTTTAGGGTTTAGGGTTTAGGGTTTAGGGTTTAGGGTTTAGGGTTTAGGGTTTAAGGCTTTAAATCAAAAATGTAAGACTCCCAAAAAATCTGCGGCACTGTGGTTAAATTGACTGCAAGAGCTTGCAGAGGGCGGTGTCGCTGTAGCGTGAAGAGCAGGCCCATGCGAAATATAGGTATCTACTCTTTTTGAAATACCGACTCACAACCCTTTCCTCATTTTTGTGTGGACTGAGGCCCCGTCTGAGGCACTCCATGGGCTCACTGAAGAGCGTCTGATGCCTTGATGGGCTTTCCAAGCAACAGAGATATCACATCGAGACTCTCTTCCTGTCCATGGGTTGAGCTTCGAGCTCTTTGAAGAAAGCCACATAGTAGAGCGCAAAGAAGGAGTTCACGAACTTGAGCATCATGCCCTGCCCACACACAGCTCTCCAACGGCAAATCTGCTCTCCCGACCGCTCTTTGGCAATCCAGTACTGGCCTTGCAAAGGAGAGCTGTTTCATACTCCGTTTGCGTCCGATGGTTCTCATAGTTCGTGAGAAATGTTGCAAGCCTCGCAGACTAATGAATTTCAGACCGAGCAGCCGACAAAGGTCCGACGACCCGAAGAGTAAGCTGCAGACACATCCAGCAAGAAGTTGGTGGTCTCTACATAGGCAGCAATGCCGAACTGGAACAGAATGATGCGATGATGCACCTGAGAATGTGTCAGACTGCGCACGCAGTGAGGTTTTCTAGCCTTTGGGTAGCCGGCTTCGTTCTTGATGTTGTGGCGAATGAAGAGGAGAATGAGAATGCAAAGCATCTGGGAGCGGGTTTCAAAGCTCTCGGCACCCAAATCACTTTTCAGCAATCCTCAGACCCATGCGCAGACACACGCTGCGACGGCCATCGCTGCAGCACTCACCAGGTAACTGCAGGGGCGCATGACTTAACACAAGAGTCAGCTTGTTTCTATGACGTCCAGCACTGCATGCTGCAACAAGTGGCCGCTTTTCGCCTGCATGTGCTCCGCTAGATATCGCGTGCGAATTTCTTCAGGCACGTCGAGCGCACAAAGCACGCGACATCCATGCATTTATCCGGTTCCATCTTTGCCTCCGGCATGACAGGAAAGCAACTATGTTGCTCGAGTATATGTTACCCACTGTCCTGGGATACAACAATGTGGAGCCATGCTTGCACCATGAAGGGTCAAACTACTTCTCAGAGAAGTTGTCATTGCGATCCCAGGAAGCATGTCTGCGCTCAGCTCTGCCATCAGGTCTGCCAATTGCTAAGGCTTTTGGATCTCAGGTCTCAACTGTAAACTGCTCACTGTAAGTCTGCTACACGATGGAACTAGCTGAAGAGCAGCTGACCGACTTGCATTACATTAACACTACGCCGCGTGTGGCCGTCATATCCTTCGAAGGGCACGAGCCTTTAAAAGCCATGGCCGGCTCTCTTCTCAGCCCAGCATGGCCAGGCCTGGTACATGGCACCGTGACAAGCTTAATCATAAGACATCTATAATAGTAATAATAGTAATAATAGTAATAATAGTAATAATAGTAATAATAGTAATAATAGTAATAATAGTAATAATAGTAATAATAGTAATAATTGCAATAATAGTAATAATAATGATAATAGTAATAATAATAATGATAATAACAGTAGTACAAGTCACAAGATGTCATGCTCTGGCCTTGCCAAAGGTCACATAAGATGATGGCCTTGACGAAGGGACTGCGGTATCTATACATGCAGTCCTGCATTACACCTGAGGAGCAAACCCAACTGCAGGTGGCGGCGTGCAACTCCTGCCAGGCGGCAACAGCTAGAGGAAAAATCGCTTCGGGGGAGGATGAACAGCCTCTGCAAGGATGCACGACGTGCCATTCCCAATGCGACAGGTGAGACCTTGACTTGCCAAGGTTGCAATACGACATCGTGACGCAAATGCCGAATGCCGAAATTTCCGAACGCTGAGGACATGGACGCTCCGTTGCCGCCCTTGCAATGCAAACACGATCTGCCTCGGAATATCGGCGACATTCAGCCGTTCAGGACTTGCTTTTTGCTCTGGAGGCTTGGATGGACAGGGTGCCTGCCGCTGTGCAGTTTCACAGGTCACCTTTCTGCTGAGCTATCAGGAGCAAAATGCCAAATCGCTTGAAGTTTAGAGGCCTTTTTCTCTCCGCGCTAGTCCGCGCGCCCCTATGCACAGACTGCCTTGTGTTTTTCTCACCGATGCCTCTGCCCTCTGCTCAGCCTGCTTCGTCTTCATGAAGATAAAGCTCGAAGGGAGCGGTCGCTGCAGACCGTCGCCTTGCCAGCGATTTCAGGAGGTCACCGCCCTGCAATTCGCTGCGATTCGCCCCTCGAGCGGGAAGGGGAGTCTGGACACCATGTCAAAGGCCCATACGCCCTAGAACTTCAGCCACCACAACAGGAGCTCCGGATGGGAACTGAAGATCCAATCTCGTCACACTCCAACTCCGAGGCTGAAGGAGTCCTAAGTTCGGCACAGTCTGACGTGGCCAGCGGTTCAATTCAAAAGGTCATCTAGTGGCTACGGAATCACCCTCCGAGCGTCTTCCATCCACTTCGGCACGACGTTGGAGACTGTACTTTCAACCAGCGTGACCATCCCGCTGAGGAGCCGCATCTCGGTGTCACTGAGACTGAAATCGAACAGCCGCGCATTCTCCTCCTTGGTCTGCGCGGCCAGCTTTTGCGTAAGTATGCAAGGTGCAGGCGCAAGGCAGCAATAAGCCTGGAAAACTTGTGTGTTCTATCGAATTATCGAATGTGCCCTCCGAGCCACGATTCTTGCAGCACTGGCCGACTTCGGGATGACGCCGGCGCCAAGCTGCAGTGCCCAGCGATGAAGGACCTTCAGGTGAAAGACCCAGAAATCCACAAACGCTCTTCGGTTTCCGAAGCCTAAACCAATTGTATTCACACTTGGCCTGTGAAGGCGTCTTCTGTTTTCTGGCAGCCATGGCTGTGACATGCGGATCTTGCAAAGGTGGGATGACCCCCGGCCAAGGGTTGATCACCGAATATCCCATCATCACCTGAATCCAAAGCCACAGTGCTTGCCAGCTAAAGGCTTGGGACTTTTAAACCGAACGAGTTCACAATGCTCCCGTTTCAGCCACGCGACAATGTTTTTGTCCTTCAGGTAGCTCATGATGGAAACATCATGGTTGACTCGCTGCTCACCAGGTGTATACACCGAGAACTTGTTCTGCACATAAACAGGTGGTACGGTAGCGAAGCTCAACAGACTCTCCAACTCCTCTGAGCCAAAGTTGGACACACCAAGCGCGCGGATGCGCCCTTCGTGGTAGAGCTGCTCCATGCTTTGCCAGGCTGCACGCGTGGCTTCCGATGAAGCTCCAGGCCCAGGCGAATGCAGCATGTACAAGTCTAGATAATCAGTGCGAAGTTCCCGAAGCTGAGCTTCGAAGCGAGCCCGTAACGCAGTGTACTCCTCCGGGTTGCTTAACTTCGTCACAAGAAAAAGTTCATGCCTGGACAAGCCGGCTGCAGCAACGGCTCGTCCGACTTCGGCTTCATTGCCATAGGATTGTGCGGTATCCAGATGTCTGTAGCCGATCTTCAGTGCATGCAGAGTGGCCTCGAAGCACTGCTGGCCAATCAGCTGCCATGTTCCAAAGCCCAGCACTGGCATTTCCACCCCATTGGCCAGCCGGACCTCTGCATCTCCAGGCTGCGCCTGAGGATGGGAAGGAAGTCGCAGGGACCGACCCCCATACAGAAATGGGAGGCCTACTCTGACAGCCTCGCTGTCTAGCTGGACTCGCGTCGGCGGTGAGTGCGTCATCCAATCTCTCAATGCATCGAAGACTTGTCGAGCATTCCCCACAGCGATCATCATGGTCTCGGCCGTCGGCTCTCTGAAGAAGGCCTCGATCTCCGCAGAAATCTGCGCGATGAGTGCGACGGTGCTTTTGTGCATCTGCCTTTCGGATTCTGGCAGGTTGGCGACGGCACGTCGCAAGTTGTTGCTTGCGTATCGCCAGGCCGTCATTGCTACGAAGGGGTTCTTGCAGCTGCTGCCTGGCCCATTATCGCAATCACGTACGCGTGGAAGCTCAGCAGCGAAGATCGCGGCTTGTGCGAAAGGGACGTCAAAGTCTTCTACCAGGGCAAGGACAAAGACATCACCTACAAGCAACGTGCAAGTGGCCCATAGCGACACCAAGGGCCTCATGGATGCAGAAACCAGAGGATTGAGCCAAAAGCTCCCTTGCGATGCGATGAAATCCAAAATTCGGGCTTAGCTCGACATCGATTGCGATATCAAATGACGGAACACAGGGGCACCGAGTCTGCGGCGGTGCACAGGGGCCTGACGTCGGGTCGATGGCACTGTATGCGCAGGTGCTGGCCTGGTCAGCTTGGCAATGCGGGGTCGACAGCCTGTTTTCACTCCCCAGCCTGGGGGTTGCCGTTCAGCAGGTGCGATGGCGCACAGGGAGATGCATGTGGGCGCATCTGGCTGGGCTGGGCACAAGACGTGGACGGCATGGGTGGGGGTAGCATGTGAGCCGGAGGCAGCGATGCTGGCTGTGACAACATGGGCTGTGGAAAGACGATTGATACAGCCTGAGGCAGGCGGTCGGTGCGGATGGCCCGCGGCGTGGTTGCACGCAGCGAAGCAGGAGCATCGACCGAAACCAACTCACTGGCAAGCCCATTCGGCTGCACAGATCCTGCGCTGTGCCGTGGGCTGGCTGCTGTTTCCTCCGCTGCGGGAGGGAGCGGCCCAGCCGCGCTGGCCGGGAGCTTCCAATTAAGGCGTGGTGCTTTGAGTTCAGCCTGTGCCTTAGCGAATGACTCTGCAATGCTGGCTCTGGCCATGAAAGTTTCCAGATCCCGGGAGGGACTGGATGGACGTGAGTCGCCCCCCCACGGCGAGCTCGGAGAGTTTGCCGCTTGACGGGAAGGCGTGGCTGTTTGAGTGGACTCGCGCGAGCGGCTCCTTCCGGAACATGTTCGCGAGCTGCATGGGACCGTCATACTGCTTGCACCTGGTGCGGTTGACCTTGGAACAAAATGCACGGCTATTGCTGCAGCAATTTGGCGCGAGACATGAAGCAGGTCTCGCATGTGGGCAGTCGACCATGCCAAACGAGGTCTCCGAGGCGGCGAAGTGCTGCCTCACAGCTCGACTTCAAAGCTCACGCACAAAAGCTGCTTCGTGTCTCTCCGGGGAAAACTGTGGCTGGCTCCCTGAGCATCCAGCTGCAATAGGTCTCGGAAGAAGGTGATGCAACGTCGCTCGTTGCATTCACCTGATGCTGAAGGATCCGTTTGTTCACTTGACGAATCCAGGCACTTCACCAAGGTCCACACTTCTGCTGCTTTCGACCACGGTCGACTACCTGTGAACTACAGAGATTAGCGATCGGCTGCAGGCTTCCTCTGTCTGGCTGTCTCTCTCCACAGCTGCACTCTGCTTTCGTCTGTCGCTATCTGTCTTCATAAGCATCGTTTCCATCTCTATTTCGTATACCTGTCCGGGCCTGCCTGTCCATTTCCGTATTTACGGCATCTCTGTTTGTCCATGGGTGTGTGCATACATATACACCTGTATGTCTGTCTGTCTGTATGTATGTATGTATGTATGTACGTATGTATGTATGTATGTATGTATGTATGTATATGTGTGCGTGTATGTATGTATGTGTGTATGTATGTATGTATGTATGTATGTATGTATGTATGTATGTATGTATGTATGTATGTATGTATATGTGTGCGTGTGTATGTACACATGTGTGTATAGATATATTTATTTGTATGTAAATAGGCGTGAATAGGATGCAAGTAGAGGCAAGAATGATAAGTGACAAATTATAAACATATTTACATATGTCTATGCGCATGCATCTAT